CAAATAAATAAATAAAATTTAAAAAAAAGAATGATCATGTGTATTTAAAGCCTTCCTACATTGCTTATATACATAGGGTTCCTCCCTAATGTGACTTCTTTCATGCTTGTGATAAATATCACGGGTACTGAAAGCTTTCCCACGTTGTGTACATGCGTAGGGTTTCTTTCCAGTGTGACTTTTCATGTATATTACAATCCTTGTTTGTGCCAAAAGGTTTCCCATATTGCTTACATATATGGGGTTTCTCCCCAGTATGACTTCTTTCATGTATTCAACAACTACTATGTCTACTGAAAGTTTTCCCACATTGCTTACATACATAGGGTTTCTCTCCAGTGTGACTTCTTTCATGTATTTTACAATCTTTGTTTGTGCCGAAAGCTTTCCCACATTACTTACATATATGGGGTTTCTGTCCAGTGTGACTTCTTTCATGTATTTGACAGTAACTTTTGTTGTGAAAGCTTTCCCACATTGTGTACATACATAGGGCTTTTCCCCTGTGTGAGCCTTTTCATGTTTTTGACAATGACTATGCCTGCTGAAAGCTCTTCCACACTTCTTACACACATAGGGCTTCTCCCCAGTGTGAGTTCTTTCATGCCTTTGACAACTACTATGTGCACTGAAAGCTTTTCCACATTGTGTACATACATAGGGTTTTTCCCCAGTGTGACTTCTTTCATGTATTTGACAACTACCATGTGTGCTCAAAGCTTTCCCACACTTTACATACACAGGGTTTCTCCCCAGTATGACTTGTTTCATGCCTTTGACAACTACCAGGTGTGCCGAAAGCTTTCCCACATTGTTTACATACATAAAGCTTCTCCCCAGTGTGAGTCCTTCTGACAATACCTTTGTGTGCTGAAAGCTTTCCCACATTGTGTACATACATGGGGTTTCTCCTCAGTGTGAGACCGTTCATGTATTTGACAATAGCTTTGTGTGCTGAATGCTTTACCACATTGCTTAGACATATGGGGTTTCTCCCCAGTGTGCGTTTGCTCATGTACTTGACAACAGCTTTGTGTGCTAAAAGCTTTCTCACATTGCTTAACTGCATAGGGTTTCTCTCCAGTGTGATTTCTTTCATGCCTTTGGCAACTACCATGTATGCTGAAGGTTTTCCCACATTGTGTGCATAAATACGGTTTCTCCCCTGTGTGAGTCTTCTCATGTCTTTGACAGTCCTTGTTTGTGCTGAAAGCTTTCCCACATTGTTTACATTCATGAGGTTTCTCCCCAGTATGTGTCCTTTCATGTCTTTGGCAGTCCTTTCGCGTGATGAAAGCTTTCCCACATTGCTTACATACATAGGGTTTCTCCCCAGTGTGAGTTCGTTCATGTATTTGACAACTATATTGTCTGCTGAAACCTTTCCCACATTGCTGACATACATAACGTTTCTCTCCAGCGTGACTTCCTTCATGTAATTGATAAGTATCTTGTCTGATGAAAGCTTTCCCACCTTGTTTACATACATAGGCTTCTCCCCAGTGTTACTTTTTTCATGATTACTAAATGAATTTTTGTTAGTGAAGGGTTTTCTATCATATATATATATATTTTTTTTTTCTCCAGTGTGAGCTTTCTCATGAGTCTGAATATCATGGTCAGAATTAAAACCTCTTCCACATGGTTTATGCATATAGGTAATCTGTTCACTGTTACTTTTTTCCACAACTTGAACATAGCTGGGTGCCCTTCAATGGAACTTTCTTCAGTGCTATCCAAATATGATTTTCCACAAGGCATATATTCATGGAGTTTCTTTCCAGGACTTGTCTTTCCATGTTTCTGAAAGGACTGGAGTTTTGTGTAGGCATTACCATGCTTGTAACAGTTAGACAGCTTCTCTTGAATTCACTGTTGCTCATAAAATTTGATTGCAGTGTTAGCCAGGATAGGCCCATCTCCTGATGACTGACCAGCCAGCAGCCTTCTAGAGGAAATGCTTTCATCTGGTTTTATACCAACAAGTTTTGTATGTGTATTCATATCTGGAATCTGAATAAACATGTCTCCATCTTGATAACATAACTTATAATGACAGGATTTCTCTATCTCCATTTCTATAAAAGGGAGAAGTAACAAAACAATCACATTTAAAAGGTTCTTTTTAAGTCATGATTCACCATGAGATCTGTTTTGATATCCCCTAAGAATGATTAACCATAAATTCACTGTACATTCTGCATGTTGGCTTGGAAATAGCTTTTACTACTACAGTAGGATTCATTTGGGAGTTTTAACTGACATATCTGCAATACCTAATATTACTTTCATTTTGAGGATGCTGAATACTCCTTTTCAACATGTTTTATATCTTTATGTGTTTTCATACCTTTCACCATAACACCATTGAGCTTTCTTCTTTTTCCATTGAGCTGGCTCACCTGCTCCAAAGTGTCTGCTTCTCATTTATTTATTCATTTATTTATGTATTGGATACATGGTCTCCCTACCCAGTTCAGACTTGTAGTGATCCTCTTAGCCTCCCTGGTGGTGGGATTACAGGTGTGTACCACCACTCCTGGATTAGGGATTGATGCAGCACACCTGGGGACCAGGGACCAGCATGGCATGTGGTACTAGGGGTCTAACTCAGGTCCTTGTGCTTGCCAGACAGGTGTTTAGACCACTGAGCTATCACCCCACCCCTGCCTCTCCCTTTTCTACCATCTTCCCTTTATTTCACTCAATTCATGTTTTTGGATTCTCATGCAAATTATAAATTGTGGTATTACAATGTCTACATCTGACTTATGTAACTTAACATTAGAGTCTCTACCACCATCCACATTTTGACAAATGACATAATGTCATTGTTTTTGTGGATGAATGTCATTCCATTATGTGTACATACCATATAGTTTTCAGTGTTGAAAGTTCAACCCAGGATTTTAGTGGAAATCCCTTCCTAGAATTATGCATTTTAATTTTAATACAAAGTCTCACCAATCGTTAAGTTGTCCAGGCTGAGCACCAACGTATGATCTTTCCTCAGCTTCTCAGAATGTAGGATTCTAAGCATGCTGCCTTATACTCTAGCTCCTCTGAATTTCCTTAATGAACACATCTGTGAGTGGGCATTTAGGCTTTTCCAGAGTTTAGCTTTTCTAAGTTATGGTGCTACAAGTAGATATTTATGCATCTCTGGTTTTTTTATTTGTTTGTTTTTTCTGTGTTTAGGACAGGATCTACAAGGTCTACAGGATTTCACTACATAGATCAGAATCGCAGTAATTCTCTTGTTTTCAGCCTCCCAAGTGCTGGGATTACAGGCGTGCACCCCCACGCCCAGTCTCAAATGCTGGCTCAGCGTGCCCGAGGGGCGGGTGGAATGGCACACTGGGGATCAAACCCCAGCTGCTGCACTCTGCCTAAGCAGGTGCTTTAGTGTGCTGAGCTATCAGGCAGGCCCTGGCATCTTTGTTTTATGATTACTTTAATTTGGAGGAATTATTTGCAGTAAAAGCATAGCTGCATAGATTTTTTTTATTTTTATACGCATTTGCATAGGTGTTACAGTACACTGACAGCCCTGCCAGTGTTACGTGCATGTGCCTTCTGTTTCCAGCACGAGTAGAGTATATGCCTTGGGGGACTGCTTGAGAAAAAGTATGATCAGAAGAGTGACAGTCACTTGGATTTTGAATATAGCCTTAGCAATTTTTAAAATACTGAAGTTTTCTATCACATTTAACTACATGTAGGTACATAATTCATTTTATATGAAGGTAATGCTTTAAATACACATATATACAGTGATAGCTACATAGATTTTTTTTTATGCACTTAGTACAGGGTCTGTAGGGTCTCACTACACGGATAGGACTTGTAGTGATCCTGTTTTCAGCCTCCCAAGTGCTGTGACTACAGGCGCATGCCACCACATCCAGTCCTATTAGCTGTCTTAGCATGGTACAGCACGCTGGAGATCAAACCCCAGTCCCTTGCTGAGCTATCTGGCCAGCCCAGATAGATAGATATTGAAAATGGTGCTGACTATACACAGAATTTGTTTTATATAGTCCTATGCTCAATGCCTAAATGCAATTTCATTCAACATATTTATAATTTTCAGCACAGAAAATAATTTGTTTGTTCTTTTACTTTTTTTTTTTCAGTACCAGGATTGAACTCAGGACCCTGTGCTTGCCGGCAAGCACTTATCCTACTGAGGTATCTTCCCAGCCCTGTTCTTTTACATTTGATCAAAATGTTACACTGGCATGCTAGCAGTACCACATACATTACAGATATTGGGATATTTCAAATATTCAATCGTCATATTAGACATAGAACTTGTACAGTCTTTGCAGACGTTTTGTGTGATTGAAGGAACATGAGCATTGCCCTGCTTGCATAGTTTGCTTATTTTAACATTTTGATATGTGAGGAACATTCTTGTGAGTGCAAATTACCTTAGACCTTTCCTGCAATTTTTGTACTCGTCTTGAATTTGCTGGTTCTCTGAGCTTGTTCCTAAAGAGCAGAAATATGACTTATTTCATTATATGAAAGTTAGTACATTCCAGTTAGATGGGTGGTACCAGGTGACCTTGCTTAGAATATAAATCAAAACAGCTCCATCTTCCAACTAAGAAAATCACACTAGGGAGCACAAACCAATGTTCCGCGATTACATAAATGAGAAGATATTTTCCTCACCTATGGCAGCCAGGTGCCTAAAGGTCTCCCACATCACATCTCTGTAGAGCTTTCTCCAGGATGGATCCAGCAGGGCCCACTCCTCCCTGGAGAAGTTCACAGCCACGTCCTAGAAGGTCACCACTGCCTACACCACCAGACATGGATTTCCAGGAAGAGTGAGATTTGGAACATGAACCGTCTCAACCCTACTTGTGAGGGCCTGCTCATTAGCTCAGGTGTTTAACTGCCTGCTGAAATAAAGCAGTTGGGCTCAGGATGCTGTGGTTTCATCCCCTCATCCTCAAGCCAAGCCAGACCTGCCCTTGAAGGCATACTGAGACCCTCCCCGACCAAAAATTCCTTCAACCCTACTCATGATACCAGATGTGGAAGGCTTGCTGGAAGCTGGTCTGCTAACAGTGCATACAAGAATAACCCAGGATTTGTCTCAGGTGACCTGGGGTAGGCATCTGGGGACTCACTCTATGGCACAAATGCTTGCTCATGTGCTTGGCAAACAGGCAAGCAGCCCTGAGGGAGCACTGTCGTGCTAACCAGCATGTCACACAAGGACTGTGTCACAGGCTGTAGCAGGTAAGGCAGCACGGTTCATACAGTGCAGGAGTCCTTTACTAGAGAACACAACCCACATAGCAGGGAAAAATTTTTCTGCCAGCTACTTGTCAAACAGAAGGCCAATATCTGGAATATAGAAAAATTTTGAAATAGTAAACCAACCAAAATAAAATCCCAATCAAGAAATGGGTAAGTAAAGTGTATACAATTCAAAGAGGGAGCACAATTAGACAACAAAAATAGGAAAAAATATTCAACGTATCTTGGCATTAGAGGAATCCAAATTTAAACAACACTAAATTCCATCCTACAACACAAAATCAGTAGTCCAAACATACTTATATGTCCAAACATATGTATACTGCCAAATGATCCCCAAATCCCACCTAGTTATCATAACACCTAAAGAGCTAACTTCCGAGCATGCAGCAAATACGTCAGGAAGCTCCCGCTTTGCACTTTCAGTACTATAGCAGTCACATCACTCCCTGCTTGAGCGGGAGACCCAGAAGCTGGTGCATGTAGCAGAGGAATGCTGCTCCTTTCCCTGACATCTCCCAGCTTTTAAAATCCACACATTTCAAACATCATTAAAGTCTGATTCTGCTAGTTAAGAATTCTAGCTGCTGAGCACAATGTGATCATTTTCTATGTTTAGAATATATAACCTAATGATATCCAGGTTAAACTATGTTGTCATAAATTGTAGGAAATCTTCATGTTGAGACTAAACAAGACATTACTGAGTGAATAAAATTCACTATTTCCTGGCATTCCGACAGTTACAGATTCAAAGTGAGATGTGCTCTAATGCACAGCCTACATGGTTGTTCTGAGGCAGTGCACAGCAGATCCTCACCTCTTCAGCAGATTAGTTTATCGATGTCCTGGGAGTCAGGCCAGGAGGGTTGTCCTCTAGGGTGGGCACTGCTGTCCTCCTTACACCCAGGCATCTCACTTCCACTCCCTGCCCTCCCCAGATGAAAAGGAGGCTGAGCCGTTTTCCCTCACCTCAGCCTTCGCTGGTGCTTTTTCTGTCTTGCTGCAGGTCCATGAGAATTAAATCACCTCACCATAGACTGAGATGTGTGAATCAAATGAAATTGGAGTTTTTTTTCCTCTTATGTAGGTCATTTCCTACACTGGATATTGAGGATAATTCAATGCACACAGAAATAAAGATCTAGGATCTGAATTTAGCACAATTGAATTTCTACTCAACTCCGTAATTTTTCATAATGATTTCTTATTTTTGGTACTACTGTGT